GGGGGGGGGGGGAGAGGCAGAAGGGTACCTTTTAACTTATTAATTTTATCTTATAAATTATTATGTTATTTTAAATTATTATGATCTTGTATAATAATTCTCGCCTTAGAAGTTTCCACTCGAGTGCGTGTCGTCAGTGGAACATGACAGACTTGTCAATTAGGAACATTGCTTCTTATGGAAATTTTGGAAAAGTAATAATACACTCAAGCTTTCAAGAACAATATAATATTGTTCAATTGAACACTTCTGCATTGAAAGACGTGACCCTCCAAGTGTAATTCAATTAGCCTTTCTCACGCCGCCATTTTTGGGTGGCATTTCGGCCGAGGTCTGCGAGATAAGTCCACATAACAGCGAGATTTTATAATTTTTTTGACGAATGATGGTAAATTTGCTTTGTAAATAGTTAGTTTATTTTGAAAAATTGCTTTTCACATTATTTTAATTGTCTGCATTGGATAACGAAAATTTGATGCCACCCAAAAATGGCGGATATTCGTCATCGTGAGAAAGGCTAATTGATCTAATGACCGATACTCATAGCTAGTAGCTATTTGTATGTCGCCAATGAAGGAAAACAAAACGAATTCGAAAATCAGAATTCGACTGAAGGACGTCGATCGATCGGTCTAAACCAAGTGGGATTATTCACAGACCGGCTGTTCTCAGCACTGAAATATGCATTGCGTCACGTACAAATTAACTGCCAGACGAAAAAAATACATATTAACATTAAGCGCAGCGTAACTACGTCATAGACTCTAGCTCGATCACGAAGTGCTTAACTAACAAATAGTTTTAGGACCTATTCAGGAATTTACAGCGTGAACAAGAGTTATATAATGAACCAGGATGTACCTAGTACCTTGTGCGAATTTTTGAAATGGAAAAACAACCACACGGTAAACTGTGTAATTGTAGACACGTTGCTCCCTTCTATTTCATTGGCACGGCAAAATACATGACTTCAAATTAATAATAAGAAGAATAGACTGTACTGTTTATCCCAATGGCCTATTGTGGCTATTTTCTCATGCTACGTGCACAATGTCTTTAAGGATGGGCTCGTCATCAAGATATTCGTGCACGGAACATAGGTAACCTTCATGTGCATCTGCCATGCTGCAACAGGCAAATATGAAACACTGAAAGTCTGTTATTATTCAGTATTTTCTCTCTTTGATAATTTCAAATTGCACGATAGTGTCTTATAAAATCCATCATGAGTATTGGAATAGGCTGATTCCAGCTTTTAATTTAATTTTTCACGCAGGGCGTGATGGGAAGTAAAGTATGTTATTTTTTTGTAAATCAGCAGCGGGCGGAATCCTAGCGTTTTCTGCAATCTGATTGGCTGCAGCAGCGGGCGGAATTTTACGATATCTGACCACGGTCCGGAATCCTATACGTAATGGCCGAAGCAAAGCAAAAATTTTTGTATGTTTGTTTTAAAACTGAAAAATATGAATATGTAACTTTGAAATAATTTTAATGATGGATAAAATAATTGTACTGTATTTTAATTGAACTGTTTGTTTTCTAAAGTAAAATAATTAAATATCAATATTCTTTTATTGTTTTGTTTTCTATATGCGCAATCTAATAAAACCGTTGCCATTTGCCTCTGAGTCTTCGACAAAAAAATTAAATACGTTATTTACCGTTTAGGTCGGTCCGGATAGAAAAATATTTTGTCTCGGTCTCAAAAACGTCCCTCGGCCTTCGGCCTCGGGCCGTTTTTGAGACCTCGACAAAATATTTTTCTATCCGGTCCTCCCAGCAGGTAAATAACATATATATATTGCTGATTATGCTGAAAAAATTCAATAAAAACTGTTGAAACAACCGAAATATTTCAATATTCACAAGTATAAGCTATCACTCCGTGTTTACACGGCCGCCATTTTTATTTTTTTCAGCATAACCATCAATATGATACCTTAGGTCCCATCAACCCTTGCACGCATAAACTCAAAGCTGGAATTGCCTATTAAAGCCACATAGTATAAAAACAGTTCTTTAGCATCTGACTATTAAATTTAATTTAGAGGTTCAGATTTTGACTTCCACTACCGCTACCACAGTATCATTAACCAATCAAATGTCTATTAAGCTTGTGTGAGATAACGGTGATGGTAGTGGAAGTCGAATCTGACTTTATTTATATTTTACCAATAATTATTTTTTAAGTTCTTTGTATGTTTGCATGGCGATAAAATATAATAGTTTTGTTTGTGGAAACACCCCGTAAATTTATTACGTGTTTCATATTATTAGCACTGATGAAGATCCGGGCTTACGGATCGAAAGCTTTGCAGTAATAAATTTACGTGGTGTTTCCACAAACAAAACTATTAATTATTTTTTTATTTTACAGAATTAAATAAGGAACAGAGTAGAAAGAAGAGAACTATTCAAGAAAACCGGTTCAAGCCAAATCACATGAAGATACCTCGACAATGTTCTCCGCTAAAGCAGTTCCTGGAAAGGACTACTTTATATAATCAAAATAGTCATCCAAAATACGTGTCGCCAGTCTTCTGACGTCCCTGTAAACAAACAAAACCCTCGATCGGACAAAAGACCACAAGCTATAGTCTTCTATAAAACACAAGCCGAAAATGTATCAGTAATTTAATTTCAAAATTTAGAGCGTTTGTGAATAGTATATTAACCAGTGGCACATAAATGTGCATTCATACAGCTTTGGCTACTGATAGAAAATTTATTTAATTTTTTAAAGAAATAGGCTGCAATAAAAAACGAGCAAAACTGATGAGTCTGTTTGAATTTTCATCCTTTGTATAATTTTCCCTTTACCCTTGTCCCCGCTCCCCATACAGAATGTTACGAAAACATTTGAGCGAACTGACTCTCTCAAATCTTGACATCTTCTTTACAACATTATATGAGGAAAATAAAGGAGGGGGGATACGAATTTTTTGCACGTGATGGTTGGTACGGACAAGCTATCTGAAATAAGTACAATTTTTAAATAGCTCTGCAGGCAAACATAAATTAATTTTTCTACTGACAATGTATTTAAAAAATTGTGAATTAGTCGTACAATAATGCACGAATTATAAATCCAGTCCTCGTTTTACCCATTTTATCCTTGTCTGTCCGCTTTTTTTCTTTTGATCCGTCCGCCTTTGATCCGTCGTGACGTCGTCCGCATCACCGTCGAAAGAAAAAGTGCTGACTATAATAATTGATACTCCTGTGTATATGAGGTGTGATATCCGCCAAATTGGGCCCGGCCAAAATTCATATATTGAATTAGTTATGCCATCGGAAATTGCATTTATGAACTTCAGTTATGCTATTATGAACTGTGATGATATTCAATATAATGTCATTCGGCACTTCCGGTTTAGTGGGAAAAGCACACGGGAAATTATAATTCCAACATGGCCGAAGGCGAAGGAAATTTAGGTCAACAACACAGAAATATAAGTACTGGAAACAAGTACGTATTGGAAACAAGTAGATCTCGACAAACTAGAATTGAGCTAACAAATATATTGCAGTCAATCTTGAGAC